AGAGAGAGAGAGAGAGAGAGAGAGAGAGAGAGAGAGAGAGAGAGAGAGAGAGAGAGAGAGAGAGATCTGTTTCTTCTTCTGCTGCTCCCTGATTCTTCTCCGGACCCTCCATAGCCAGTACTCTTCTTCCTCTTCCTCTTCTTCTTCTTCTCATTACTATTATTATTATTAATGATTTAGTTATTTATTTTTATTATTATTTCAGAGAGAGAGAGAGAGAGAGAGAGACAGTGACTATTTCGGGCCTATGAGTGCCCAGGATTTGAGTCGACATTCTGGGAGGGACGATTATTGGACATTTGATAGGGAGACTATTTTTGGACTACTTCGAGTTATATTTTTTTCTTGTCGCCTCTCTCTCTTCTTCGTCTCTTCCCCACCTCCATCATCCGTGGTTTGCTCCCGATGTGTGTGCGAAGGAGGGATGTTTCTTCCGTGTTTGACTCCCCTCCTCGCTGATTCGACATTTGTGATGATGTCTGTGTGAGTCGAGTCTGAGTCCGATGAGTCAGGTCATATCTTTGAGTGTTCCGCCGTGCTACTTTGCATTATATTGTTTCTTTCTGGGTGCACATTGCTTATTTGCTGATCGCATTCTTTGTCCTGAGTCCTGCTCTTCACCTTGGTGCTCCTTCGGATCTGCGCATCACTCATCTTCAGATGAGCATGCATCAAATATGCAGAGGGGTGTGGTGGCTACCGAACAGGCGCCGTTTTTTTGCTGATGTCACAATCGGACTGTCCGATGCATTTATTTCACAGAGAACAGTACATCTATGTTGTGTTGTCTCATTATTGCAATCCTCTGCTGATCTTGGACTTGCTTGTTTGATCAGTACCCAAGGGACGTTAGAGTGCTTGTCCAGCAACTTCGAGATGCAGAGAGGAATGTTGCCGATGCAATGCAGCAGGTCCACAGGGAAACAGCTTCGAGAATGGAACTAGAACGAGTTCTTGCCAGGACCTCAATGGAACTCCGTAACTGCCAATGGCAGTCCAAAACAACGCAGCAAAAACTAGAGGGTTAGTTCTTTGCCTCTTTCATCCATCCCATGTGTTGTCAATTGCTGCATTTCAATCTTGTGAATCCAATCTGTAACAAGGTACTAAGGACCAATCTGAAACTATTAACTGTCAGCCTGTTGCATACTAGTGAAGCGAACACAAGTATGATGCAGAACCCAGAACCGACGAATAACAAAGAGAAATACAATGCAGCGGAAGACTGATAAACATGGATCTGACTCACATCTGACTCGGGCTATACACAGACTCACACACATACAGCCATCGGGTGAGAAGGCCTGGCGCTCCAAACATAGAAGATGGCGCCAGGGCCTGCACAAACCACACACGGACGAAATGTATGGGGAGAGACGTAGGGAGGAGGAGGAGATGGCGCCAACACAAATGTCACCGAAATAGTAATCCCGAAATCTCGAAGATACAAAATCTCGAAATGCCGCTGATGTCAGATCTCTGAAAATAGTCCTCCCAATGTCCTAGTCTGAATAGTCTCAGTCCTCATGTCACCGATAGTTCACCACCGATCTCTGTCCAGATAGTAACCAAGAATGTAGAAGGTGAGGAGGAGACAAAGATGAAGAGGAAGAGGAAGAAGAAGAACCGAGAGGGGCAGAGGAGAAGGTAGAGATGGAGAGGTGGGGAGGAGGACAGTCCTCACTGCCCTGCTTCAGCGTCCAGGTACCAACCTGCTGGCGCAAAGTGCCACCTTGGAGCTGCTGAAGACCTGCCTTCGACGCTGGAGCTACCCTCTCTCTCACCTCTGCAGCTGGTGCTACACCTAACGCTACTGCCTGGAGCTGCGCTAAACCAAACTTAGCGCGGCGCTGAAGCTCCTTAAAGCCGCGGTCTCAAGTGTGCTGAACAGACCGCTGGCCGGTACTAAGTACCGGCGGTGGCCTGTTCGGCCTGGCTGTTGAGAAACACGCGCCGTGATCTGAGCCGTAGATCGATCTGAAGGTTCAGATCTGACCCACCAGGGAAACTGCAGCCTCAAGCTTTGGCCGCCAGGTCAAACGAAAAACATTTGGACCGGTTTCCCGCTCAGGGCCTGCAGTTGCAGACCCGGGTCTAAAACCGGTTGCTGGAGGCCTAAGGTCGGCCTTTTCCAAAGGTCCGACCCTTAGCCCAGGCCGGACTGGCCCACTGTGGCCACGGTCGGGGACAACTCCGTAGACCTAGCCATCGGGCCTAGCAGGGCCCGTGTGGAATCCAGGATGTAACACACTCCCCCCCTTAAAAGACCGAGCTACGTGCAAGGGTGAAGTTGTCTATCCAAAACCTGGGTGGGTCGTGAGGGACGAACTTTGTCCTTGGCAAGCCGTCGTCTTTCATACTCAGAGAAGATGAGTGGTGCAGATACCTGTAAATCTGGTCGGAAGATCCAGCGAGTGTCATCGATATCACATTGCTTGAATGCGACTTGGTACTGCATTGGCTTGTTGCCATGCTTGCGGTGTGTGATGACACGGTCAGCTTCCTGATGTTCGTCCATGGAGGACGGATCCTGTGATCGTCTGCTCGGAAACTCGTCAGCAGAAGGTGGTGTGTAAACAGCCAACTTTGATGCATGAAAGACCGGGTGCACGGTGAGGTGCGGTGGAATGTGAATCACAAAGGAAGGGCCTGCAAGGTCGTCGCCGGGCGCAGAAATTACCTTCCATGGTCCGAACCATTTGGGGAGGAGTTCGCGAGAGACATCTTGCTCCAGCGCAAATTCCTCAGCGAGGACCAAGACAAGGTCACCCTCACGGAAAGCACATGGGAGGTGACGTCGATTAGCTTGCTATTGCATGCGGACCTGAGCCTTTTGCATATTTGCTCGGGCTTTGATCAGCAAGTCCCTGTACTTCCGAATGGAAGCGAAAGAGCAAGAGACGTCTATGTCGGCGGCCCGAGGGAGAAGAAGATCAGCGTAGATACAACCTTTCCGTCCACCGTGATGTAACTCGTATGGAGTCACACAGATCGCGGGGTGCACCGAAGTGTTGCAGGCGAACTCGATATCCGGAAGGCGGTCAACCCAATCTTTCTAGTCCAGACAGATGAGAGTACGGAGCATCATCTGGGCGGTTTGATGTGCCCTCTTCGTCTGTCCATCCGTTTGTGGGTGCCGAGCGGAACTCGGCTTCATTGTCGTACCGGACTCAACCATGAGGGATGTCCAAAACGTTGACATGAAACGAGTGTCGCGGTCGCTCACGATGTCTTTCGGAATGCCATCGCTGCAAATTCAGCCAGTGTGCAAGAGTCGTGCGAGCTCGGGTGCTGCAGCATGATACTTGCAGGGAAAAAATCGAGCATACTTGCTCAAACGGTCAACGGCCGTGAAGATGCTGTCATGACCAGGCGATCGCGGGGAAACGAGCCTGTAACATCCATAGTAATGGAGAGGCACGGTTCTTGAGGAATCGACAATGGTTTGAGTTCACCGTAAGGATGCTGATGTCGTCCTTTGATGCGCTGGCAAACCACACATGACCGCACATATTTATTGACATCGTGAAGAACATCTTCCCAGTGAAAACCCTGGCGAAGACGTGCCAAAGTACGGGTGACGCCAAGGTGTGCCGAGAGTCGTGAGTCGTGGAATTCGCTGAGAAGGCGAGTACGCAAGATACTATCGCATGGCACCCATAACAAGTCCTTCCCTTGCGTGTGGAGAAGCAAGTACCCGTCGGTGATGCGATAGTGACCTGCCGGCGTGTGATCTGATGAAAGATCAGCATAAAGTGTTGAGTACTTTAGGTTGGACTTGTAACCATTGACGAAAAGCTGCTGCAAATCGTCGTCGACCTGAAACGTAGAGCACCAAGGCACACAAATCGTGTCGTCGTGATAGTGCGTCCACTGCTCGATTAGCGGAGCCTGGAATATGGACGGGGTCGAAGTCGAATTGGTCAATAAAATACATCCATCACCCGATCGTGCTTGTGACCGTGTCTTGCGTTTTATTTAGGTCAACGAATTATTGTCCAAATTCCATGTGAAACACCGACGCCCGAGAAGAAAGTGTCGCCAGCGTTTGAGAACGGTGGCGAAAGCCAGCAACTCTTTCTTCCTAGCGTCATCCAGAGAATGGACGAGAGGCACTTCTTGGGAGAAGTACGCGACCGGTGTCATTCATCGCCGTCATGATGTTTCAATATCACACCAATGTCGTATCCGGAAGTGTCCGTAGTCACTCGGGTACGTAAGGTAGGATCATAAATGCGGACGGCGGCAGCGTGTAGCATCGTGTTCTTCATCGCCTGGAATGCAGTCCGGGCTGCGTCGTCGAACTCGAAGGGCACCTTCGGAGACTGAAGCCTCGACAATGGTGCAACAACTTTGGAGTAAGAGTCGACAAAACGTTGGTAATATCCAGCCAGACCCATGAATGAGCATACGTCCGTAGTAGTACGGGGTTCCGGCCAATCCACGATGGCTTAGATCTTGTCGCCTAAGGGACGAATGCCTTGCAGGGTAACATAATGGCCCAAGTATTCAAACTCCTGCTGTGCGAATTCACACTTGTCACAATTTGCTTTATACTTTGTCGTGTGAAGCCTTTCTAGGACAGCGCAAAGGTGTTCAAGATGCTCGTCGAATGTCCAACTATAAACCAAGACGTCATCGAGGTAAATGAGGACGGTGCGGTCGAGCAGATCCCGAAACTCGGTCGTCATAGCTGCTTGGAAGGTCGCCGGGGGATTGGTGAGGCCGAATGGCATCACAACCCACTCAAAATGCCCATACCGCATTTTGAAGGCGGTATTGTATCGATCTTGAGGCTGGATTTCAATCTGGTGGTAACTGGACTTCAAGTCCAACTTCAAGAAGTACATGGCGCCTCCCAATCTCTCCAGGAGATCATCAATCTGAGGGAGAGGGCTGACGTTCTTCACGGTTTGCGTGTTTAGTTTTCGATAGTCTATGCACAATCGGAGGTCCTTGTTCTTCTTCCGGACGAAGAGGACTGAGGCACCGTAGGGCGAACAACTCGACTAAATCCAACCCTTGTCTAAGAGGTCATCGAGTTGTGCGTGAAGCGCCTTGAGTTCCTCTTCGCTCATCCGGTGAATGCATTCGCACGGAGGGATGGCACCGTCCTTGTACGTGAAGCACCTTGAGTTCCTCTTCGCTCATCCGGTGAATACATCCGCCCGGAGGGATGACACTGTCCTCGAGAGCAATCCCGTGATGTGTGGGCCGATCCGGGACTGTTCCGGCGGGAGCTGCGAAAACGTCTCCATAACCGTCTAAGAGCTGAATAATACATGGGTCCAGCGACGATGTCTTCGGTTCGTCCGTCGGAGGGAGTGCATGCAAGAAGCATATTCCCATCTCATCGACGTTGTTCTGAGTAATAGCATTGCGAATCCTCGCTGCGGAGACCACGTGGCAACCAATCGAAGTGTGAGGGGGCGGGACCGTACACGGGACTAGCTCACGGTTCCGATCACGGACGTGAACGGTGCGGTGATGGAAGTTCACCGCGTGGTCGGGATTAGGCAACCAAGACATGCCTAAAATCATGTCGAGCTTGGTGTCGAGGATGTCGAAAGACACCGGCTCGCACGCAAGTGGCGCAAAGTAAACCGGGATGCCATCAACGAATCGGTCAATCAACTTTTGCGTGTGTCCGTCCGTGAGTGTCACATACGTTGGCGGTGTTTTCCTTCGAACGCGGGGGTCGAGTCCAGCGCGGGCCATAAAAGCTTGGCTCATATAGTTGCGAGACGCTCCAAAATCAATCAAGGCATTGCAGGTTTCCTTTCCGATCTGAATGCGGATATAGAGGAGGGGTGCATCGCTTTTGACGTACCTTTGGGAGGCATGCGTGCGGTCGATCTTCGCAAGATAGGCGTGAATATCGACAACCGCAACTCCGTCGTCCGTCATGGAGCTGGTACTGCAGCGTGCAAGTAAGCGTGTAGGTTGGCCATTAAGTCATTGCAATGCGGCTTGGGCAAGGATCCGGTCGAGGGAAGAGGCAACCATTGGAAGTCCTCTATTGTTAGCGGGTCGAGATCCTCTAGTCTCGACCATGCCGACGAGTCCTCGGAGTGTGTAGGCGAAAAGACCGGCTCACTTGCTGACGGTGCGCAAGCTGCGCATATGCTGGCTTCATGCACGTGACTAGGCTGGTTCAACGGTGGGACCAGCTGGACTGCATAATCCTCGTACGTCAAACGAGAATCATTGACTACCGCATGTTCCCCGGAGATGAAGTCGGTTGCTAGCAAGGCAACCGTTTCCGGCGGAGTGGGGAGAGCCGTCGCTGCACTCCTCGTCGTGCTCAGTTTCCAGAGCTGTTTGGATGAGGCACACTAGCTTTGCCCTTGTCCGTGCATTGGGCGGTCGCGTGCTTGACGCTATTGCACCAAAGACAGTAGTTGTACTTAAGGCGGAGGTGGTAGACCTCCTCGCTAATGTGATACTTCGTCCACGGAAGCTGTCCAGCTCCTTCCGGCGCCTGGGTAGTCGCCTTCTTCTTCCGAGCTCGCGTGCGTCGAGGAGGGATGGCTGCTACAACATCTCCTTCACCAGAGGCTGTTGCGGCGGCATGATCTTCTTGTGATCCGGTTAGGATCACATTGGCATTGTGCCACTGAAATCCTGGCTTTGCCACATAGGCCGGCTGCCGCTGGCGACTTTCATTCGCCGCCCACCGGTCCGTTTGTATGAGAATGTTAGCTCTTGAATGACTGCGTCGAAGGTCGAACTGCAACTCGTTGCCGAGAGCCGTAGTCAACCCGTCGCATGACCAAGAGAAGAACTCAGATCTCAAATCGCTGAGATCGAGGTTGAATTTCGGAGTGGCCACAAACTTTTTCCACCTCGTCAACCATTCTCGGGTAGGCATAGTTGCCTTGGCTCCAATGGTAGAGCTCGTTCATGACCGTCTTCTTCACGTTCCGGACCATGAACCGCGTCTGCCACAGCTGCTCAAACTCGTCCCATGTAATCTTCGTGTGCAGTGTTGCGATCGTACAGGCCTTTTGCAGCGCCAAATTGTTCATGAAGGCCTGACTGCCGCTAATCAGCTGGAGGTACAGCGCGTCGAGGCGCTGATCGTCGGGGACATGATGCACGTCCGCCTCCGTGTTGAATGCGGTCCACCATGCCAATGCGTCGGTCTTGCGGTAGTCGTCGAATTTGGCAACGTTGAACTTGGGCATCTTGAACGCCCGACAGCTGTCAGGTCTTGACTTCAGCTGACCAAGCTCGGCTTTGAGTATGGTCACTTGGTTGCTGAGCGTCGTTGGAGCCTGGAACTGGCCCACCTCGCCAATCAGGCTGATGATGTGATCAATGCACTGAGTGGTGGTGGTTGTACTTTCAATTGCTGCTACACGTGGGCCCCATTGCTGGCCAGCTGCTGATGAGCCGATTGGTGGTGCTGCTGGTGCATGGGCCTGTGCTTCGACCGTACTCAGGCGCAAAGTAAGTGCATCGTTGACTTGCTGTTGCTGTGTCTTGGCAGAATTGATCGCTGTCGCGAGTGTCTTGAAGTCGTTCGTGGAAGCTTTTAGGATCTGTTGCTGCTGGTATGCTGCCTGAGCGTGCCGCCGCAACTGCTTCTGCTGCCAGTTCACAGTGCGTAACAAGTGTCTGAGTAGGTAAGCCAATTCTGCTTTCTCCTGTTCTTCCGCTGTTGGCGCTGATCGTGCTCCTGATGGCACAAAAGTCCACGTCGTGAGGAGTTCGCTGAAACACTGCTCCTCATTCTGCAGGACCTGTGTGCTTGCGGCACGCTGTTGCTGTTGCACTGCTTTGGCGGCTTCTCACTGTACCTGCGCCTGGCCGGCTGCCTCATTGGCCAAACGATGTGCCTCGGCTGCAGCCTCGTTGGCCAGCTTCTGTTACTCACCGGCTGGCTCTTCGGGCAGTCTCTGCTGTTCAGCGGCTGCAGCGGCAATCCGCTCCTGTTCGGCAGCGGCCAGGTCCATGAAGGCCTGAACGCGCTGCAAGAACACGTCGGACGCCTCATTGGTGCCTTGGACTGGAAACGCCGGCAGGATCATCGTTCGCCGCCTCCTTGGTACCGTAGGTGTCTGGATGCGTGCTGCCGACTGCTGCTGTCTGCTGAGAAGAGCTGCTATCCGAGGACTGCGTCGAGGAAGTACCCAAGGTCGCAGACGTGCTGACATGAGCTGCTGCTGGTAACTGCAGGGGCTGAAGCCGGGTAGTGTCCTTTAGGCCATTAGCGGGAGAGGAGAACAAGGGGTGGGAAGCAGGGGATAGACAAGCATGCTGCTCACCAATCCCCAATGTGGACTGACACTCTAATCAATAGGAAAGAATTTCACCCCTGACGAATTTTATTTTTCACAAAATAACAAATGAAATTTAATTAATTAATTAAAATAAATAAATAAATAAATACGTCGGGAATTAGGTGTCAATCCGAGATCCCAAGGTGGTCCGAAAGTTCACTGATAATCAAAATGCTAACTTTAAACTTGATTGCAGGTGAAACTTCCGGGAAGTTGCAGTTCTGCAACTGTCCGGACCTTCCACCATCCGAGAATTCACGAAAAATCCCGTACGGAATTCACGGAGGTAAGCAGCTAACGAGCAATGCAAACTGACGTAGAAGAAAGAAGAGAATCCGTGAAAATTTTGGGATTTTCCGACCTAAAATTCCGTGAATTTTGCGAAATTCCTGGTGTCAAACCTAAAATTGACGCGAAAATCAGATTGCAACAACTCTATTTTTAGCGCATTACCAAATTACAGAAGCAGAAAGAAAAAAAAAAATTGCAACTTGGAAATTGATGACAACTGCAGATCTGATAACGGAAACAATCCTAATCAAGTACTCAATCAACTTGCATTAACTGATTTATCAATTATCTTGCTTCTCACTAATCAGAACTACATCTATCAATCTATCAATCAATCAATCAATCAATCAATCAATCAGTCGATCAATCAATCAACCAACCAATCAATCAATCAAGCAATCAAGCAATCAGTTAATCAATCAATCAGTTAATCAATCAATCATCAATCAATCAATCAATCAATCAATCAGTTAATGAATCCATCCATCAATCAATCAGTTAATCAATCAATCAATCGGAATTTCCGAAGGATCAATCAATCGATCGATCAATCTGTGAGCAGATCCAATCTTGGTCTGCTCCGATACCAAACTTTTGCATACTAGTGTAGCGAACACAAGTATGATCCAGAACCCAGAACCGACGAATAACAAAGAGAAATACAATGCAGTGGAAGACTGATAAACATGGATCTGACTCGTATCTGATTCGGACTATACACAGACCCACACACATACATTCATCGGGTGAGAAGGCCTGGCGCTCCAAGCATAGAAGATGGCGCCAGGGCCTGCGCGAACCACACACAGACGAAATGTAGGGGGAGAGACGTAGGGAGGAGGAGGAGATGGCACCAACACAAATGTCACCGAAATAGTATTCCCGAAATATCGAAGATACAAAATCTCGAAATGCCGCTGATGTCAAATCTCCGAAAATAGTCCTCCCAACGTCCTAGTCTGAATAGTCTCAGTCCTCATGTCACCGATAGTTCACCACCGATCTCTGTCCAGATAGTAACCAAGAATGTAGAAGGTGAGGAGGATATGAAGATGAAGAGGAAGAGGAAGAAGAAGAACCGAGAGGGGCAGAGGAGAAGGTGGAGATGGAGAGGTGGGGAGGAGGACAGTTTTCACTGCCCTTCGTCAGTGTCCAGGTACCAACCTGCTGGCGCACAGTGCCACCTTGGAGCTGCTGAAGACCTGCCTTCGACGCTGGAGCTATGGTGCTCACAGGTAAGTATCAGGTAAGTCCCTCTACCCTCTCTCTCGCCTCTGCAGCTAGCACTACACCTAGCGCTACTGCCTGGAGCTGGGCTAAACCAAACTTAGCACAGCGCTGAAGCTCCTCAAAGCCGCGGTCTCAAGTGTGCTGAACAGACCGCTGGCTGGTACTAAGTACCGGCGGTGGCCTGTTCAGCCTGGCTGTTGAGAACCCGCACCGTGATCTGAATCGTAGATCAATCTGACGGTTCAGATCCGACCGGCCAGGGAAACTGCAGCCTCAAGCTTCGGCCGCCAGGTCCAAACGAAAAATGTTTGGGCCGGTTTCCCGCTCAGGGCCTGCAGTTGCAGACCCGGGTCTAAAACCGGTTGCTGGAGGCCTAAGGTCGGCCTTTTCCAAAGGTCCGACCTTTAGCCCAGGCCAGACTGGCCCAGCATGGCCACGGTCGGGGACAACCCCCTAGACCTAGCCGTCGGGCCTAACACGGGCCGTGTGGAATCCAGTATGTAACACAGACAGAGTTGGGCGAAACTACTAACCGTTAGACAGAGTTCGATGAAATTATTAACTGTAGGACAGAGTTCAGCACTTCTCCATCGTGTTGTGTCTTATGATGGTTTTACCACTTGTGATCCCAACTCCAACATTCGCACCAGTTAGCTGTGGACTTGCAGGTCCCTGAAAAATCCAAAGGCCGGTGGAAAGCATCCCTTTATGCGTTAACAAGTACATGAATAATCATTTTGGATTGTGCAGAACATCTCTCTGAGAACTGCAAGAGAGGTTGTCATAGGGAAGCCTTTGAGCAGCCAGGTCAAGCTGGCTGAGAGGCAGTCTAAGAGACCAGCATCATGCCCAACGACTGGCTGAGTAATATCCCAAGAACTCCAGTCCTTCCCTTGGCCAATCAGTAGCCCATCCAGCATATGTAAGACCTGGTTGATATTCGGGATTCCAAAACTCATGGACTAACAACACCAGCTACTACCTGTTCACATTTCGTTCTTGTGCTCCTGTGTCACCTTCGTGTCTCTAAGATGCAGTTGACAGGAGTTCGTGAACACGAGGTGTAGGCGGGATACCGGACGAGATGTGGCAAGGAAGGCACGGGGCAACACAACATCGTCTCTGTGTTTACGTTGATTATTGATATACTTACCAGCACATGCTAATTGATTATCGATATACTTACCAGCACGTGTTAATTGATTATTGATATACTTACCAGCACATGTTAATTGATTATTGGTATACCTACCAGCACATGCAAAGAACTCAAGTCCAATACAGACCTTACACACTTGATGCGCACGGAAGACTCAATCTTAAATGAGAATGAAAAACATGAGAGCATATGGTGTAACCGGTGAACCATTTGCATCTCTGGATCCTCTAATTAGGCAGCGGGGTCCTAGTGCCTTTATTTACAGCCATGAGACTATGAAGAGCGATGCCTGGAAAGGCGTGAAACGTTTGTGGTGAACTTGCAAAAGAATGGTTTACTCATTTAGCAACTCTTCTTCAACAAGGGCGCTTCGCGCCAGATAAAGCGATGGACAATGTAAGAGGCTGCCGTATCTTTGAAATAGACGATTAGGGAGGCTACTCAGACTAGCCGATTTATCAATCAAATACTGTATTAATTGGCTTGCGTTTGCATGAAGCTCTCTGTCATACCGCTGTGCAATAACCCATGCCATATGTCTCGTGGAAACTGAGGCCTAACGCGACCGCCCTCAGCCCAGGCCAAACAGGGGCACACGACCCCACATAAGGACTCAGGGCCTGGACGTAAGGTTGACTTTGGTCAATTGTCGGAAATTCCAACAGTCAAAGTCCAAAGGTACCCAGCCCAGGCCGCTGGTCAAGTACACACACTTGTTTGTATGCAGGTACCCAGACAGCATCAGGTCCAAGGGAGAAGTCTGCAACTGTACAATCCGGGCCTTCAGCTGTGAGTCAATCTGGACGACTGTGGGAAAGGCACCCGAGGCCAGACAGCCTCGACGACTGCTACTTAAGGCTGACCTCGTGTGAGTCAAGCATTCAGTCTTGCTATGCTGCTTTGACGCTGGCTCGACTTTGACTAGACGCTGGTTTCATGTTGGCGCGACGCTGGCTACATGCTGGCTGTGCACGGCGCTGCGGGCGACAGCACGAGATGGAGGTAGCATGCTGGCGCTTCCTCAGTGCGCCAGGCTATGCTGATGTGGCGCTGCCTTTGGTCTATGTGGCGCTGCCCTTGATCTACGTGGCATGCTGATGTGGCGCTGCCTTTGGTCTATGTGGCGCTGCCTTTGATCTACGTGGCATGCTGATGTGGCACTGCCTTTGGTTTATGTGGCGCTGCATTTGATCTACGTGGCATGCTGACGTGGCGCTGCCTTTGATCTATGTGGCATGCTGATGTGGCGCTGCCTTTGGTCTACATCGTATGATGTGGTGCTGCTACTGGTCTTCATTGAAGATGAGGCGTATGCCATTTGTCTCGACTGCTGACGTGGCATTGTCCACGCTGTCTACATGAGGTGGCTGGTTCCGAGGAGGAGGAAGATCGGGATCTGTGGATGAAGGAGGTCGGGTACTCACCTGAGGTTGACGTCATCACTGGAATCTGCTATGTCTTCATGGTCTTCACGNATGAAGGAGGTCGGGTACTCACCTGAGGTTGACGTCATCACTGGAATCTGCTATGTCTTCATGGTCTTCACGAGATTAAGTGCCACGTGGCACTACTGTGTGTGATCAGGAATATGTTTACTATCATTGTTGACATGGAGAGTAAGTGGGAGGTGCCGCATGTGCAAAACGAAACGCGTTTATTAATGCGCGCGGTCACACCGCAAGTCTAGACATGGTAGTATTGCACGTGCGAGCATCTGTCCCTTGAAGATGATGACGTGGCTACATTGAAGATTTCATGATGACGTGGCATGTAGGGCACGGTCTGACGTGGCACGTACCTGTGTTATCACTGCTTGCTATTGATGTGCTGACACGGTATGCTGGTGTTGAGTGTGTGGCAGAATTGCATTGATGACGTGGCATCCCTCCTAGAAGATCGTTCTGGTCCTTGACGCTGACGTGGCAGAGCTGCTGTGTTGGCATGCCAAGGGTGACATGTGGCATGCAAAGACTGAGCATTTGTTTGTTGAGAGTTACATTGCTTCTGCAGATGATACAGTAGGAGCTAACCATTTTCGTGTGGTTGTGTTGGCTTTCTACTTACTTGTTTATTGTCTGTGGTTGCTGTGTGTACTTGTAAGTATGCTGTTGTCTTGATCACACTGGCCGTGGCTGTGGTACCTGTACATTTAGTAGGACGTCATCATACATAGAATCAGACAACTGAGGTTAGAACAAGATTTTATTTCTGTTTCCTGAATTGTTATTTATTTCTTGCTGAAGAAATTTGGACCGGTGTGACCGTGGAATTTATTATTGAATCATTATTGTTTATTTATTGTGCGGTAAACACATCTGAAGATGTCTTACATGTGGAACTCTCTGCGTCTCTCCATTCTGACTCGCTTCATTCCTCATCTCTTCCTACCTGTCTCTGTCACCTTCTTCGCTGATGAGGAAGGTGAAATCCGAACACGTACCCAGATTGAAAATCGACGGCAGCTGATGCTAGATCGCCTTCAACAGCTATTGAATGAGCTGCATGGTGCTGGAGCCATGGCTGAACAACACGTACGCAGCTAGTTCGATCTGCAGAAACCAAACTTAAAGAGGCTGATACGGCTGTTCAGATGATGGAGGCCAGTACGAGAGTGCAACGGGCTATTGATCAGGGCCGAATGACCCTTGATCAATATGTCGCCGAGGAGCTGGCAAAGATTGTTGCAGGCGAGCTGAAAGAACGGGAAGTAAGAGAAGAAAGGAGGGAAGAAGTAAGAAGGCCAGAACTGAATGAAGATACAATGTTGGCCAACATTAGACAATTGGAAGAAGCGTTGGACGCGGAAAGAAAAAGAATGGATGAGTACCGAAGGATATAAATTGAGAAAGAACAGCGAGAAAGAAAAATGGAAAAAATTAGACAACAATTTCACATTGAAAGAACAGAAACTGACTTTGCATCTGTTCTTGATAACTTGATGGCCTACCTGGGACATCTTAAGTTGAAGATTGATAATAACACTGCCGCATTGGAGTCGGTATTGAGACTAGTGAAAGGGAAAGATAAAGTGTTAGTTGAGGAAGAGGCCAAGGGGAAAGAAAATCAACCACCCCAAGAGAAACTTCTAAAAGATGCAGTGCAGAAGGAAAACAAACCCGGACCCTCGAAGAAAGAGACCGAGGAACCGGCAGAAAGAAAGAAGAACCGGCCGAGAAGAAAGAAGAACCGGCTAAGAAGGAAGAACCGGTTAAGGAAGCGGAGAAGCCGAAGAAAAAGGAAAAAGTTAAGATGAAATTGCCATTCACGTACAGCAACAAAAAGGAAGAAAACTTGTTGTTGTGGATTGTTGAAATACAAACTTACGTAGCGACAACACCCGTGGAGCCTGAAAATCAGGTTGCTTTCTCCACATCTTGTCTGGGAGGAGTGGCCAAGGAATGGGTGGTGGCGGAAGCCAATGCCGCTGGTTTCAAAGATATAGGTGAGTGGGCTAAGACCTTGACGTTGAGACAATTTCTCCAAAAGATCAAGGAGAGATTTCTCGACAAAACGATGGTTGAGAAAGCTTTTGATGAGCTCACCACGATAGGCCAAAATCATTGGACTTCTGTTGATGCCTTGTCTCGTGAAGTGGATCGTCTGCTGCAGGTACCTGGGTTGAATCTTCAAGACAACCAGGTTCTTTATATCTACTCACGTGCACTGCCCGAGCCCATTCGTGGACAGCTCGTGGTCGAATCGAAGTCTGGTAAGTATAACTATCGGCAGTTTCGTGATCTCGCTCTCCAGAGAGAGCAGATGACCGCTCAGGTAAAGGGGACATACGCTTCCGTAGTGAAATCGGGACCGGTGGGTGGCTATGGCAAGCGGATCCTTTTGCGGCAAAAGCGCTAGGATCACATGCTTGTGTTATTCGACGATGAGATTGTAGAGAAGTTACCCCTCGACAAGTATGAGGGAGGAGGAGGTAATGGCGGCAGCGAGCTGGGAAGGGTGACATCGCTACCGTAATGGCCAACAAGGGAGGCCAAAGTCAATGGAAGAAGGAGAAGAGGCCACGCTCGTTTCCCGAGCATCCCGGCATCGCGTTCGGGAGACCCTAGGAAAAGATTAATATGACACATGAGGAATGGCAGTTCAAGATGGACAACCGCCATTGCCTCAAGTGTGGCACAGTAGAACATGTGATATCCTGGTGCCCACTTATTAGAAACCCAAAAGCGTGCAGCCAGTCGGAGTAGCATCTGCCCCTACTGAGTCAACGGGTTTAGACCAAGATAAAGGTAAGGCGCCCACAACCCCTTCTACCCCTTCGATTCTCAAGGTAGAGAATGGCTCTTCTTCCGCCCGTCGTCCAGAACACCCTGACACAGTACTTTGTTCTGTTTCGTTGGACGATTCCCTTAATGAGCTCGACAATGAACTTATAGCACTACGGAGCTCGTGGACGAAGAAAGCGAAGTCTAAGGCTGAATTGATGATCGCGGATATTGAGATTGCGCACACGCGAGTAGGTGCCCTGTTACATCCGGGATCGACTCGGTCTTATATCTCAAAGAAGGCAATTCGTAAGTTGCATCTGGGAATGAGCGTAAAGGATTTACCAAGACCGATCACGTGTATACTGGATGACAAAAGCACGATCACTGTCTCTCAATACGTCGATCGTGTTAAGTGCTATTTCAGGATAAATGAAGGTAAGAAGATTCTACACGAGATATCCTTCCTAATTAAGAAGAATTTGCCCTTTGACATAATTATGGGTATGGATTGACATGAGGAAGCCGACCCAGAAGTTAAGTTCAAAGATAAAATTGTCAAACTCAAGGATTAGAAGTCCGGACTACGTGCGATAAAGTTATATCATAGGTCTGGCTCCGACTCTACTTTGTCTTTCTGTTGTATGAGTTACCCAACTTTCCGATCAATGGTAATAAAGAAGAAGTTGAATCAGGAGGTGATGATGATGCTTGTCAAGCGAGTTAGTGAGTGTTCCTCATCCGATCCACCTTCTATCGAGAAACCTCTTGACGAATATAAGGACTTGCAAACTGAGCCGACGGGAATCACTGAGTGTGCTATTAAGCACACAATCGAGATTATTCCCGAAAGCAAGATTCCCAAGGGTCCTATTTACCGAATGTCTCCCAGGGAACTTGAGGAACTTCGGAAGCAGTTGCAAGAACTTACTGACAAGGTATGGATTCGTCCGAGTTCATCTCCTTATGGTGCGCCTGTCTTATTCGTGCCTAAAAAGGAAGGTGAACTTCGTTTATGTATTGACTATCGTGGGCTGAATTCTGTCACTGTTAAAAACGCGGAACCTCTTCCGCGCATTGACGATCTATTGGATCAGTTGCAGGGATGCAGGGATGCAGGTATTTTAGTAAGATTGATCTCAAATCAGGGTACGACAAGATTGAGGTGGCTCCTGAGGATCAACACAAGACGATTTTTCGAACCAGGTATGGTCACTACGAGTTCGTGGTTATGCCTTTCGGTCTGACCAATGTGCCTGCAACATTCCAAAGATCCATGAATGAGTTATTTCGTCAATTGATTGACCAATTCGTAGTAGTCTATCCCGATGACATTCTAGTGTATAGCAAAACGCTAGAAGATCATGAGAAACATCTACTAATGGTTTTGCAGAAGTTGGGCGAGGACAACTTTAAACTGAATCCGAAGAAGTCAAAGTTTGTTAAGCCTGAAGTATTGTACCTAGGGCATATAGTAAACGAAGAAGGACTAAGGCCTGAAAAAAAGAAGATAACAACAATTAGAGATTGGCCACAACCCAAGACTATAACTGAACTAAGATCTTTCTTAGAACTTGCTAACTACTATAGGAAGTTTGTCAGAAACTTCTCCTTGATAGCTGCTCCTATGAGAAGATTACTGAAAAAGGAAAAACCTTGGTTGTGGGATAAAGATTGTGAGTCATCGTTTAGGAAGTTAAAATATACTTTGACTCACTACCCTGTCTTAAAAATTGTTGATCCTTCTCTCCCTTTCATCGTTACGATTGACGCAAGTCAATATGGGATTAGGGTTGTGCTACAGAAGGATGACGGTAAAGGATATAGAACTATTGAGTTTATATCCAGGAGACTTCCGTCAGAGAAAGTGGCCAACTCCACCTATGAAAGGGAATTGTATGCCTTAGTTGATGCACTAGACACCTGGAAGCACTACTTGTTAGGGAGGCATTTCACTGTTTATTCTGACCACTCTACGTTAAAGTGGATCAAGACTCAGCCTAAGCTTTCCGACAAGTTGGTAAGGTGGTCCACATTCCTTGATACATTTGACTTTGAGGTGAAAACCATCAAACGTAAGTCTAACGTGGTTGCGAATGCTTTGTCCAGACGTGCAGATTTCTTTGAAACCATTGTCTCCTATCTCGATGTTGGAAATGAACTGAAAGAACAGATCCGCCAGGGTTATGGGAGTGATCCTATTTGGAGTCCTATCATTGGAACTTTACGAAAGAACCCTAAGTTGTTTTCAGAATATCGAATGACTGGTGGCTTACTCTTCTTAGTGGATAAAATCGAAGAACAATTGTGTGTTCCTCACCTAGAACCAATTAAGAGCTTAATCATTGGGGAATGCCATGATGCGGAAGGTCACTTTGGTTTTAAGAAGATGTATGTCGATGTACGCGAATGTTTTTAGTGGAAGGGAATGAAGGAAGATGTACTAACGTATGTGCGGACTTGTCTTGTCTGTCAGAGGAACAAACTCTCACATGAGAATCCGATGGGACTATTACGACCACTGCCGATTCCAAGTGAGCCAGGTGAGTCTATCTCAATTGACTTTATGAGCCTCATTAAGAGTCGAAACGGTGTCGGGCGGCTCCAATACTACGCCGCCCTTTACTTCCTTTATAAGGGCATGCAACGAGACCCTCACTCGACAGTATTCTACGTGGCCGGGATTCACCGACCATGAGGCAGACCAACGCTACGACCAACGGGGCTACCGACGTTTACCGACCACGCGGCGGAACGACACTCCGAAGAACGGGGCGGCGGCATCCTTGCTTTACAGTATTTTTACATGGCCCGAACTCACCGACCGTGGGGCAGGCCGACGCTACGATCAAGGAGGCTACTTTCTCCGGCCGGGACTCACCGACCATGACGCAGGCCGGCACTACGGGCAAGGGGCCCATTGGGCTGGTTGATTTTTCCCCGAAGGGGCGGTCCCGCTAGGACGCGGGGTCCGCCTGGGTCCAATTGAATGACGGGACCAGTTTTCACTTACGGGGCCCGGCTGGATTTTCCCCTAAGAGCGGTACCGCTACTGCGTTGGGACCACTTAGGCCCGGGCGGCCTGGGACAGGCCCGGAAGTAGGCTCGGTACCGGAGCGTTGCAAAGGGCCCGGTTTCTGATAGGAAGGCCCTTTCCACCGGGGCCTTTTCGGAGGCCCAATCAGGCCCGGGCGCAGCCATGGTACCGAGGCACTGCAAGTGTTTGGCAGCCTCGGTGCACTCGAGGCCGGGGACACACACTGGTGGGAAGGGTCCGGCGGAGTACATAAGTCAAACTGGGCCCGGGCACGGGACACTTCTCGCATGCAGAGACGGAGGCACAGGACTTCAGGCGCACGACACAGGCGAGAGGGACATTGGCGCACGAGGAGACCGCACGCACGAGCTGCCAGGCGCACAACGGAGCACGCATGGACTGGCGCATGAGGAGACTGCACGCACGAGCTGCCAGGCGCACAACGGAGCACTCACGGACAGGCGCACGGGGAGACAGGCGCACAGGGAGGAGAGACGCAGGGGACATTCTTCGCACACGAGAACAGAGGCGCACGTGACGGGCGCACGGAAGGCAGACGAACAACAGGCGCACGGGGAGGTCGTGCGCGTCCACGCCTGCGCACGCACACCCGCGGGATAGCGGGGAGAGGTTGCGTGCGTCCACGCCCGCGCGCGCACATCCGCGGGATAGCGGGGAGAGGTTGCGCGCGTCCACGCCC